GAAATCAGGAAAGGAGCCAGGGTAAGAGGCACAGAGGTGAAAATAAAGATGGAGACTGGTCAGGAAGAGAAATGGGCAGTTGGTGGCAGCCAGGGAATGAGAGAACCTGGGATCTGGTTCTAAGTGCAGGGAGAACTATGGCCATGGTGCTGAGGTCTGAGGGGCAACAATGGGTAAAGGCAGCAAGCCTCAACTCCTCGCAGGGCAGGGACCATTTTTGTGGACAGGCTACGGCCCCATCCTTCCTCTCCTCCCTCCCCATGCCTGGGCTTGCTGCCATAGTCCCTAGCCTTTCTCCTATTTTGGTTTAACAAAACAGTCTGGTAGCTTGGCGAGGAGGGATGGGAGGAGAGCTGCCAGGCCACACCCTAATCACCACCCCAAATCACCACCCTCAGGTCCCAGAGCTAAGCTTATTTGGGGGCTCTCACTTGAATGCCTTGACTCCCTCTCTGTGCTACCTACTGCCCTCCCAAATCCATAGCCCCTCTCTGTCTTCCTTGGCCCAGGAGGCATCAGGGAGATTGGTCTCCAAACAGAGGAGCTGGAATTAGAGCTCCTGAGGCCCTCAACTGCTCGTCTCTTCCCATCCTCTCTGTTGATCCCTGAAACCCTGTCCTTTCCCCCATCTGGCCAAGGGCAGAGGGGCACGGATCCAGCAGGTTCCTGCCTGAGAGGTATACTTTCCTTTGCCTTATTCTTGTCCCTTCCCCCCCGTCACTACACCCCTGATTTCTCCCCATCCGTCTTCCACTGTGGCCCATCCTACATTCCATCCTTCCATATGCTCCCTTCTAATCCAACCTTATGACTTTGCTGCTCTAGCCAAGTTCTTTCCTCCAATTCTCAGTGGAGAAACAGACCTGGGGCATGGATGACTTAGGGTTCCCCTAAAAGCCAAAGGAAGAGTTGAGGCTTTGAACCCCAACCCTGGGGGTAGGGTTAGGTAGACCTCTGCTCCCTCTGACCCTTTCCATACCTACTCATTCTCTTATCCCTCTGGCTAGTTTCCCCCCAAACACAGGGAAATAAGACTTGGTGAGAATCAGGGGCCTAGTAAGGTCAAAGGCAACCAAACACCAGAAGCTGATGTTTCCGGTCCTGCAGGAAACTCTCTGTCCTGGTCAAAGTGTCACAGCTTCTCTTTCCAAAGGAGTCCCCAAAGAGGACCTCACAAATAACTGGGCGGAAAAGTGAGGTCCTTCCCGGTAGCTACAGTGGTGGGAGAGGTGGCCAGGGCTGGGAGGGAAGGGTCCAGCAGGAATCAGGATGTAAAGGCCCGGGTTGGGAGTAGAAGCATGTAAGCCTGGTCCAAAGATGGAATGTGACTGGGTTTAGAGGCAGCTCTGTAGCAAGGAGGCTCTCAGACTAATAGAACGTCAGAGAATTCACTGGTTTGGTCAGTTGGGGAGGCAGCCTAGCTGCTTTTCTGGGCATCATTCCTCTTACTTCTCTTCCTTTCCTGGTCTTCTAGTCTTCCAGTCTCCTATTTTTGTTCTGAGAGCAGAGAGGAAGAATTTGGAAAAGGACCCCTGGCTTCACATCTCAATTCCTGTTCTGCTATGGGCTTCAGTTTTTCTGCTTGGGGAAGAATCTGACATGGTCCCAGTAATTTTCCAAAAAGATGTGAGACCAAAGTTGAGTTTAGTGCCCTAGAGATTCTCCTATCTCTGCTCCAGCCCCTGGGATAAAGATCAGGTCAGACTGAGGCCTAAGAAGTGAGGAGAGGGTGAACCTGGAGATTGCAGGATGAGCTGGGAGAAAACCAGCCTCAAGGGCCAGAGGCTTCCCAGGGCCAGGGAAGAAGCATCATCATCATCACCATCATCATCATCATCAACAACAACATTCCTCCCATGTATTGAACACCTACTCTGCTAAGGATTGTACAGGGCTCTTTATACATGTTGTCTCATGGTGATTCACCCAACAGCCTTTGAGTGGGATATTACCATCCTCATTTTAGAGATGAGGAAACTGAGGTTCCCAGAGATTTAGTTGATTTGCCTAAGGCCCCACAGATAGTAAGCAGGAGAGCAAGGATCTGGTGCAGCCAAATCACCTTCCACCATGCTCTGCTCTATATGGCTAAACCCACTATTGTCATCTTCTGACCCTTGCCCTGGGAGCACTTGCTAGCACCATCTCCTCTGCTGTTTTTCATCCAGCAGCAGGATTATTTCATCCTCAGTGCCCCATCTCAAAGGGGAGACTGACCTTGTTCTCTATTTTGTGAGAATGCCACTTTCTGATCACCTTCCTCTTCTTGCCTGGGAACTGGGAAGGGCTGAAAACACCTCCTCCCCCACAAGACAGCCCCTGCCCACACCTCCTCTCCCTTGCTCACCCAGACAGTTGTGTCCATCATGTGCCAGGTGGAATCCATCATAGCAGGTGCATCGGTAATTTCCAGGGATGTTGACACAGTCATGCACACAACCTGCATTATCTTCTCGTTCACACTCATCCACATCTGTGAGCAAAGAGGATCTGAGGCAGCTGGACATGCCTCCCACTGTCCACCCGTGTTCAGCTTTGTGGTGGTTATGTATGTGTGTGTGTGTATAACCTTCTCTGTGTGTGTTTACATAATTACTTTCATAGCCTGCAAACCATTTTGCATTTTACTATTGTTTATCTAAACTTAAGTCATAAACATTTTCACGTCCCCCCCCCGGTCTTTCTAATTACCACTGTACATGGTTGCAGAATATTCCACTGTGTTGCCAAATCATAATTCATTAATCTATTCTCTATTGTTAGATCCCTTCCATTTATTTTACTATTGTAAATAATGCATTAAAGGACATCTCCTGTGTGTTATTTTCTTTGAATTTCCCTTGAGTAGGTTCCCAAGAATAAAATTTCTGGGTCAAAGGGTATAAATACTTTTTAAATTTCCTGCTGGTGTGACAAAATCACTTTTCAATTCATAGTGTCACCAAGAATTAACGAGCGTACCTTGTTCGCTAAAGTGTTACCAACACTGAAGGTCGTAAATTTAAAATAACGTCTCAAGACTGCTTTAATTTGCATTGCTTTAATTATGAGGGGGGAAGAATGTGTTTGTTTATGGTATGAAATTCCCTTGGGGTAAACTGTTCTCATCCTGTGGGTATGGTGTAAGGGTCTAAAGATGGAGGTTCCAATGTCAGGGAGCCTCAGGCCTCAGTCCTGTGATCCTGATCCCCCCCCTCCCCCGCCCCCGGCCAAGCTGTGAGGCTGTGAACTATTCCCAGCAGAACCTCAGCTAGGCTATATGGTGCCTTTGAGCAAATGAGAAAATGATGCCCTCTCTGGGAAAAAAGTAGCTGGCCAAGCCCCTTCTCCATGCCCGCAGGGACTGCAGGCCTTACTGTCCTGCACCGTGTGGCTAACTCTGGGCAGTGGCACCCATTTCCACACTCAAGCAGGCCCCCCCCCTTCTCCAGGCATCCTCCCCGCCTCACCTTTGCAGTGTTTACCATCCCCTGTGTAGCCAGACTTGCAGATGCACTTGTACGACCGTGGGGTGTTCTGGCAGATAGCATCAATGTGGCAGTTGTCGGTCCCCTCCACACATTCATCCACATCTGGCAGGGGCAGAGGAGGCACTTGAGACCCTCTGTCAGTGCATTCCAAGGGGTGTCTTGAAGGTGGTTCCCTAAGGGCAAAATCCCTTCTCCTCTAATGTAGAGACAGTGACCCCTCCAGAAGCAGGTGCTCTTCCACACCCTTCTGATTTCAGAGTGGGCTGACTCTGTAATTTCAAGAATTCAGAAAGAGCCCCCACTCCCCTCAGAAATACTTAATCCACAATGACAGCTAAAATTCCATCATTTGAAACACTTCTCTTTGATTGAAAAGCAAACAAAAAACCCTTGGACTGGGTAGCACACTTACCTTGACTAGAAATGTTCAACTTAGCATGAATTAGTTTACCTCACTTCGGAGCAGGCTTAGAGGGAGGGGGAAGAGAAGAGGCATGGGGACAGTGGCCTCTGGAAAAGTGGCAGGGTCCAGCGGCCCTTGGTAATTGAGGGAGGAAGAAAGGAAGGAGAAGGGGCCACCTGAGAAATCCTCATCTGCCTCACAATTCTGCTTGAGACCAGGCGTGCTCCCACTTGCCCATCGTTGTGCGAAGAATCTTGAGAGGAAAGAAGTTCCATCCTGGAAGATTTCCCTCAGACCCTGTGCTGTCAACCGCAGAGGGACTGGGACCTGGCAGGGGCTGGTATCAGCAATCTGAAACCTGATAAGTGGAGCCCTTGTGACTGTCCAGTTGACTCAGGCTCATCAGTCTGCCTCCCTGAACTCTTCCCTCTAACCCAAGGTGTTCCTCTTGCTCCTGGCTCTCACTCTGGCACAAGGTGCTACTCTACTCACAGAGCTATGTTCAAGAAAGAAGCAGCCAAGATCTAGCAAAAAAGAGGATGGTTCTGAAAGGACCTAGGAAAGAGAATCATTGATTGTCTTTGCGCAAAAGATTCCAACTTCTGAGGCAATATTTTGGTGTACATAAAGCTGAGCTAAAATATGGCTAAATGTTGCATTCAGTTGACAATGTTTTATAGGGTGTTTTTATGAAAGGTACTATACTGAAGGCCATGGAGGCTCAGCAGTGACTCGGCCCAGCCAAAAGGAGAGACAAATAAGTAATATGAAGCAGGGTGTGGTTGAGTGCCCCAAAGACATTAGAGAAAAGAGGAGGGGGTCCTCAACCCTGGCTACACATCATCAGAGTTAACTCCCTAGGAGATGCCCAGCACCATCCCCAGAGGTTCTGGTCAACTAGCCCTCAGTATTTTTCTAAACCTCCCCAGGTGAGTCCAATGTGCAGCCAGGCCTGACCACCTCTATTAAAAGGAAGATCAGAGGAGGAAGAGATTACTTCTAGCTGTGAACTGGGAAACCCAAGTGTATAAGTAGCAATGTGCAAATAAAGAAATGGGATTTGAAATCAAGACAGTGCATGGGGTGCCTGAGTGACTCAGTTGGTTAAGCATCCTACTTCGGCTCAGGTCATGATCTGATGGTTTGTGGGTTGGAGCCCTGTGTTGGGCTCTGTGCTGACAGCTCAGAGCCTAGACCCTGCTTCAGATTCTGTGTCTTCCTCTCTCTCTCTGCTCTCCCCCACTCGTGCTCTGTCTCTGTTTCTTAAAAGTGAGTAAATGTAAAAAAAAAATTTTTTTTTCAACGTTTATTTATTTTTGGGACAGAGAGAGACAGAGCATGAACGGGGGAGGGGCAGAGAGAGAGGGAGACACAGAATCGGAAACAGGCTCCAGGTTCTGAGCCATCAGCCCAGAGCCTGATGCGGGGCTCGAACTCACGGACCGCGAGATCGTGACCTGGCTGAAGTCGGACACTTAACCGACTGCGCCACCCAGGCGCCCCAAAAAAATTTTTTTAAGGAAATCAAGACAGTGTAGAATTGCCTGGCTTTTGTTAAAATGCAGATTCTCAGGCCTTACCACCAAGCTATGGAATCCAAATCCTTAAGGTGCTTGATTTATTTTTACTGAACCTGAATGAGTGAGTGGACCAGTAACTGCTCTCAATTTATAGACACCCATGAGCCCTAGCTTGAAACAGTTAATTGTCTTCTGTTTTCGTATTTCGAGAAGTACTTCAGGGGCAAGGACTGAGGCTTCCTGAGGCTAAGAAGAGAACTGGAATTTGGAAGAGTGCCCCCAAACACCCTGCCTCAAATCTTCTGAGCTTCTATTCAGCTCTGCAATCTACCTTCCAACTCTCTTCGACTGCTCTGCAGTCAGCCGTGCTGGGTGATTCTAACTGCCGTAACTCACACTCTTCACCTCATTCAGGCTCTGTAGTCACGGTGTCTGCCTACTGGCCCACCCTGGGAACTCATGGGAAACACCCTGGGAAAGAACAGAGAAGGGGGGCATGAAGACTAGTTCATAAGAGAGGGCAAGAAGGAGCTCTGTAGAAAGTAAGAGCCTGCATGGAGTATCAGTTGGTTCAACTGATGGAGAAAAAATGGTACCAAGAAATGTACTCTCATAAATAGAGCCTAAGCTCTGGAACCAGTCAATCTCAGATTCAAATCCAGCTCTACCTCTCTAGGGAGGCTTTTCTGATTCTCTTATTTCTTTCTCTTCAAAATGGGGATAATACTGCTCATGAGAGTCTGCGAATAGTTGATAAGCTAATTTGTGTAAAGTACCTAATAACATGGCTGGTAAATAATATGTTCCCAATGTAGAGAAGCTGGTTCTGACAACAGATACCCTAGGACTGTGCTGTCTATATGATGGTAGCCATGAGGCACATATGGCTACTTAAATTTAAATTAATTTAAAATTCTCTTTATCAGTTGCATTAGGCCAAATGCTCAATAGCCATATGTGGCTAGTGGCCGCCATCAGTGGACAGCACTTCCAACATCACAGGAAGTCCTATTGGAGCACTGCTCTCAGAATTAAGAAGGGGTACTCTTAGGCCCGGGGGGATCAACAAACTTCCTGAGAAGTGGGATTCAAGTAGAGTTTTGGAGGTTGGATAAACATTTGACAGAAGAAAGAGATTTCAAATGTGGCTAAATGTATGAAGAAAGACAAGGCACCCAGAGGTCCTGTCCTTATTGTCTCTCCCTGCATTTATACACACCCTCCATGGTGGGGAAAGTTTGGTGTTTTTTTTTTTTTTTAACTAATTCCAATGTTTGAATTGGAGGCTTGGTTTATATATTCTTATTGGGTCTCTGGAGGAGGGGGGACTGGACGATTGATCGCCCCCTCCTTGTGGTGACCCTTGTAAGTCTTCGAGGCTGGCATGGGGCACTGGACAATCCCAGTGGCTAATAATCATCCTGTCTGTCCTGCTTTGAGCCATCTTCTGTTCTTGCCATCTCTTCCCCAGCAGCCAGCAGGGCAGTTTGGAACCCCATCTAGAAGCTCTCCCTCTGGGGCCATCTCAGAGGTACATGCCTATCTCTGAATCCCTGGGTGCTTCGCTGGAGTCTGCACCAGGCTCTCTGGACTCTCAGTTCTTTCCTTTGCCTCCTGTTCCCTGCTAACTAGTACCAGAGTGCCCCCGGTGCTGATGGCAGCAAACCCAGGCTTCCTGGTAATGCCTTTAGACTCTTCCAGCACCTGGGCTTCTCCCACCATCCTACCCACAACCTCATCTTCCTGCTCAGAGTGCTTCTCCTTCTCCAGCAAAGAGTCTCTGCTCTGGAAGACTTTATCTCCTACCTACTCCCCCTACAACATCTAAGCCTTCTGCCCCCGTCCAAGCATTCACACACATCTCCTTCTTCACATTGGATATGCAGTCCTCCCTTTTCTAGCCATTCTGTTCCCAGCTTCCCAAATCTGGCTCAAAATGGTCTTCCCCAAAGCCCTTCCTGGTAAGCCCTATTCCTAAAGAGTTTCAGGTCCAAGAGGACTCCGTTTGCCTCGGCTCACTTGCTGCCATTGCTAAGTTGCTCTGCTAATGCTGAATGCCGTCTCGTCTGGCATGTTCAACTTTCCTCACTTGGCTGGTTATTCACTGAGGACAGGACCCTTCAACCATTTGAATGGAATCTTTTGAAGCAGTTCAGGCCTAAAATAGAGCTCTGAAATAGGGCCCCAAATTATATCCAGTGTCTCCTCCTTTTGCCAGTCCATTCTTTCAGAGCTCCCTTCACCACATCTGCCCACCCACGATTTGTCCATGCAGGGAATCCCTTCAATACCCATGGGAATAGTCTCATTTCAGCTCTGAGGGTGCAAGTATTTTCTACCGACCTGACAAACAATCGATGCTAGTTGGACATGGATTGGTTTAGACTGGTGATTCCCGACCCTGGCTACACACTGGGATTCCCTGGGGGCCTTTTTAAAAATGTGGATATCTAGGCACTCTTCTAGACCAGCTGCACCTGGATTTCCAGGGTGAGGCTGGGCTGCTGTCTGTCTTCCTTTCCCAACTCAGATAATGTGAATAGATCATTTGCCTGACCTGGGAAGACACTGGGGGCAGCAAGATGACAGAGTGTTTGAGAAAAGGGTTTCTGGAGTGATACTGTGTCAGTTCAAATGCCAGTTCTACCAGTGTCTGTGTGGTCCTGGGCCAGCTTCTGAACTTCCCTGCTCCTTTCTCTGTAAATGGGAATCATAATGATAGTGCCTCCTCATGGGGCTGCCATGAACATCAAATTAGTTAATACTAATCAAGTATTTAGTGCTGCAGCACAGGCATATAGTAAGTGCTCAAAAAGGTCCGCCATTTTTATTCCTTCTCTCCAACTTTCTCCTCAGTATCATTTCTGAACCCATCTCTGCTCCTCCCTTCCCCTTATCGGAGCCCCATTTCAGGCCTGGTGTGGGGAAATGCGGCACCGAGAGAGCATGTGATGGTACAGGGAACTTTGGAGAGACACAGCCCTGAAGGTACCTTCTCCACCACCTGCCCCACCCATGCTGGAAGCTGCCCAAGATGGAGGATGAAGTATATAAGAGGCCAGTTTTAACCAAAAAGCTGCTCTCCACAATCCTTTGTGATTGCTATCCATTTGTGCTTTTACCACCACCCCAGGTATGGGGCTGGATCAAAAGCTGAATTGGGGGAGAGTGGCAGCTGC